AACCTATATATCAGAAAATCCGATATTTTTGGCTTAATTTAACTTACTTTTTCGAAGATATTTGTGTGAATAATTAATCAGTCATTTCTACAGGTGTGCATAACGGAAGTCCATACCGGGTACTCTGTCATTGGATAACGATATAAAAATGTTTAGTGCAATAAAAATATAACAATATTTTCTGGAAGAATTTTGAAATCTCATTACATTTAAAAGTCTTTCCAAAATGCACATTTAAAGCTATTTGTACATATTTTAATCAACGCCAACAAAAATTGCTACAAAATTCGCAAAATGCAATTTACAACATGGCTGGATACCCAGGTTCTATATCCGTATAACGGGTTACTGACATAAAACAACCTGTGCATTGCAAGACAAAGAACTTTTGATAGGAAAAGTTAACTTAAAACGTGAATATTACTAGAAGAAATTTTATGACCCTTCCAGCTAGTAGTAGCACGGAAACATTTCTGCAGAGTGACTGAAAAAGAGCTGTCAAAAATATAAAGGCAGATAGAGGAAACAGCAATAAGGAGATTTCTTAATAGAATGAACGAGCTTAAATGTGCGTTAAGGTGGTATAGCGGATGCAGAGTGTTAAGTAAAAGCGTTCTGCTTGCGTAAATCCTTATTTCCCATGCTGTGGTCGAGTAGAATGCATTGCTGGGCGAAAGCTGAGCTCATTGTTGGACCTTTTATCTATGGGGCTGCAGTTGAAACGAAGCAACAACTCAAGAAGGTAAAAAAATAATTTCAGAATACTTTCTTTCAGCAGCTTTTCCAGTTCCAGTTTTTGGATCTACCTACGTATCACTGCAAAATTTCAACGTGATAAATAGGGTTTTTTTTTATGTGCGGAGAAGACAGAGTCCACAAGAAAGAGTCGGAAATTTTGGAATCGACCACGTAGAAGGTGTCAGAAATACATTTCATTTATGAATCACGTGGTATAAAAGGGTACATGTAAAATTTTATTAAGAAGTCTAGGCAAAATTACTTTTCAAATGATACCTAACATTCATTGAACTATGTATACCTCTAATATTGGTGTTGGTGTATTTAATTATGGCAAAGCACACTAGGGCTATCTGCCTAAGGGGAGGGATGCCTTCGTGGAGGACTTTCTAAGGGAAACTGGCTCGTATACACGTTACACATGGAGAAACCACGAAAACACCCATGCAGCCAGCACGTTCGCGGGATTCGAACCTCGGACCGAACTACCAGTGTTCAGCTACTTTACTGCTCGGCCGCTGGTGGGCTGCTGGAAGGAGGAAGAAAGTACCTTATAGTTCAATGGCAGGTTTCGCCTGCTAGGTAGGCTGGGGCCAGTGCTTAGAACTAACTAATTATCTAACTAACTAGCGTTATAGTACAACAATAAAAGCAGGTAGCATTCAAGAAGCGAGAAAGCAGAAATGAAGACATTTTATTAAATAGTGCATTGGTGTTTAACTGGAATATAGGTTTCTTTAAATAATAATTATTGTGATAGTTATCGATAGTTTATATTCATGGATACTTTTCATTTATTTTGTTCTTACTGCTACTGTTACCAAATTAAATTATTTGCATATGCTTTCCTTATCAGGACTTGTATTCCTCTTGCTTTGCGTTGGAAATATGAATGGTCCTGAATAGGAACAGGGAGCTTACTCAAGTTATGTTCAGGAAGATGTGAAGTAGACAAGACAAGCAGGAAGGGTATACAAAACCCTTTATTTTCAATACTTTACAGGTATTTCCGAAACTTCGGAATACAGAGACCAACCACTTGGGGTCTAAACGTAAGAATATAAAAGCTACTAACTAAAACTCTAACTAAAAACTAACTTTAAATTAATATACAAATGCCTAGCACTAAGTTTGGCCTTTATTTAAAGAAAGGTACGTACGTAGTACGCCGAGCTGCTTAATCTACAACACGTTTGCAAAATAACAAGAGGGCTAAACCTCTGGCCTTAAAGGCAACCAGTAACCGAGTGAAAACTCGTAAAACTACAGTGGGAAGCGGCTTGCTTCCTATAACTCCTTCCTCACTCTCTCTTGGCAAAAAGCCACAACTTAAGTACTTGGCGTTAGCCAGCCCGTTCGCGGGCTTTGAACCTCGGACCGAACTACCAGTGTTCAGCGACTTTACCGCTCGGCCGCTGGTGTGCCTATCCCCTCTAATATTGAAGGTAAATGAAAAAAATCGGACGCATCTTTTATTTCAACAGACGCAATATATCGCAAACATAATATTGCAAACTGAAAATAATAAATGTTAGGAAAAGGTTCTTCACGGGGAGTATAATAGATGAATAAAAACCCTGAACTCCTTTTACAACTATTTAGCTTGCTTAAATGGAACAACCCAGTTGCCTGCTAAAACTAAACAGAACGTAAATTTATAAGTAATTATTGTGCTCCCTATGCGTGTTTTTATGGTGTAATTGGTTAGCATATCCAACTAGAAATTGGAAAATCCACGATTTGATTCCTAGCGAAGGCACAGTTGATTTTTCTTGTTTAATGTTCCCAAAAGTCTAATGGGCTTTGTAGGGGCACCAAAAATAAAATGTAGTGGACGACTCTCTGTCACCAACTGATTTGGTCAACTAAGTCTCGTGTCTCTTCCCAGTCGAACTTAAAGGGCAGTAGAAGGTAAGGAATTCCCGCATACCCCCAGTGTGTGCTTTTGCAACGTAAGTGGTTAGCTTGCCCAGGTAGTAAATGGAAGATACGTAGTTCAAATACAATCAAGCACTATTCAATTATCACGTTACCTGCACGGAAAACCAATTAGCCTCTACAAGGGCTGATATTATAATTATTTTTGCTATAGCCTTTAATTACAATCTCTTCAAAAGCACATAACCATTCATTTTGATAAAGCTTATTAAAAAACTAAAAGGCTTCTTTTAGTTGCATTAACAGCTAAATTTTGAGTTTAATCAGTCTAATCACTTTATTTTGGAATTAAACCACTTTGAAAATGCGAATTTAATTAAGATTTAAAAGGGGCGCAGCAATGATTAGATATGGTAATTAGAATTGGCAACTAGAAACTAATCTGACACTTATAGTTCTTTAGCCTCTGCCATACAGGTGATTCAGACTTAGCATGAAGAATGAGTATACTATTTTCTGCAGTAAGACCAGTTCAGTTGAGAGTATTCTAAGAACCTGAAACACACGTATCTTTTTCCATAAATACAGTAATTTAAATACAGTCACCGGGAACGACAAACATAGTTCAATCAAAATCATGGTTAATGCGACAGCAGTTAAAGGAGAGCATACACAAGAAAGAGAAATGACCCATATTATAATTAACCGAATAACCATTAACTATTTGTCTATAATTTCAAGCAGTTTGATTTGGGATATAATGCAATTTAATTACGTAAATTAAATCAATATACAAAGTTCCGTCTCTCTTTCTCTCTGTCCATTCTCTTTTTATTTCTTCCTGTTCCTGTCTGGCTGTATTTGTTATATCACCATGCACATGCTCTTTTCTCTTGTTTAATTTACTCTTGTGCTTCGGTAACATTTGATGCGAATAGAAAATTATTATCTGCACACAGGTTCGGCCTCCGCTTCCCCCCCCCCAAGATCAATTTCTGTACCTTTTTAAATTCTGCCTGCCAGTGGCTTCTTAATTCAAAACTTTTTCCTCTTATAAATATAATACTCGACCACAACGGTTCACCGATTGGTTCTTGCCCTGGATGCGTATTGGTTTATTTTCAAGACTGAGAAATTTGCTTTTAATTGAATGACCTAATAATAATTAAACATTTTGGATTATCTACAGATGTGGATAAAACAGTTCCCAAATACTTTGACATTTGCTATCACTGCTGCCGATTCTCGCATTTTTTTCTTCTTGCATTTTCTGTAGACAGTTTTCTTTAACGCTGGTGGTCTGTAACAGCAATTTTTCCTTCCTTCCGCAATAAGCAGATTTTTTTGTTTTTAGACAGGCATCGGTTAATGGGAAATCCTGTTAATTCGCTTTTGAATAATCAAGAGGTGATTATAATAATGCCAGAGTTATAGCATTTAGAAAGCGTAATTTTGAGATTGACCTCACGCGTTACATAACGTCGACGCGGACTTAAGGGGACTCATACACCTTAAAACCCATACGATGTTCGAATAGGTGACTGTTGCAAGCATTGGGGTAACTTATTTATTTTAAAAGCAATTACTTCCAACTTTTTACAGCTGACTACATAATATAGCTGCTTTCTGAAATAGTAATCAGAAAGTTTGTGTTGCCACAAATATTTTCATAATTTAATCCGCTTTGTTACAACATTTTTCGTCATGTTTCCAACTTGCGCGCACAGTTTAAAACATTCTGTTTCATAATTTAATTCCATATTTAATATATAGCCTTTATAACATTTGGAAACTACTGTGAACCTAAAATTCTAAAAATTTCATGTTAAATTTTTATTTTATTTTGAGTTGGATTTATAAAATGTATTTTATTAACAAAATTTGTAATGTTTTCGTCCGTAAAATTTTTCAATATTAAAATATTCATCAGGTTGTTGGTTCAGTTACAAAATAGTGCCCATATAAAGCATTTCATCCAATTTCAAGTATGTACCATTAGCCATTTTTAAAATATCATGCGCGCAAGGTGGAAACATGGCGAAATATTTTGTCACAGATAGGATTAAATTACAAAAATATTTGTGGCAACACAAACTTTATGGTTACTAGTTTTCTAAGCAGGTATATTATGTAAACAGCTGTAAAAAGTTGGAAGTAATTGCTTTTAAAATCAATAAAATATCCCAATTCTTGCAATAGTCACACATTCGAAGATCATGAAAGGTTTAAGGTGTATGAATCCCTTTAATGCTCTTTCTTAGGGTGACGAAGTCGTGCGGTTGTAGTTAAGTGTCCTTACAGATAAGCTTCTTGTTTTAACATATGCGATATCGCTGAGTAAAGAGTATTATTTGATAAAAAGCTATGAATTTAACATGTATCCTTCTCATTTGTCCGATTCGTTCAAGAGAACACGAAATCGGGCGTGTTCCTTCTTTTGCTGCACTGATTCGCTCCCCTACATACTCGTCCGAAATAAGGAGGGTCTAATTTCCATGTGACAACATGCTGCTGAAATTCATATCACTGTTACTTATTATCGCGTCTCTACAAGGTGAGTAGCCAACAATTTGTGATCTGCATAATATAAGTATTCATAGCAATTAAATATACTGCAGCTGTGAACTTTGCATTTTATAATCAATGATATACTAAAATTACGGCTGAGTTTCATATCAGTTATTAAACTATAATGCAAAATGAAGAAAAATTATTTAGCATTGTTTTTATTAATATTACTGATTAGTTTCATATGCATTGTTAAAGTTTGAATTTTGTTTAAAATTATGCTAAATTATTATGCAGATTGAAAGCTGTTTGAAATTATATATGACCTATAAACTACCATATTAATCATTAACTGTTCATCTATTAATGTGTATATCGTGTCCACAAAAGGCTTCACACGGAATTACTTTCGTAATCGTTGTTCATAGATATACACTTTCAAATATAAAAAGGTTTCAGAGGTTGCAAATATTCTTGTTTTGCATTTCTTAATTTTAAAAAGTTAATTTTATAAAAAATTACTCATTATTAGAAAAAAAAGGTTTGACTTCTGTACGACAAAAATTAACCGAAATATTTAATTCGAATCTTGTAATATTTGACATAATTTTTCCCTCACGTAGAGGGGTCAGTTAATAAATAAATTAGAATAATTTGAGGATGATTTTTTCCTCTTAAATACCCTTCAAGGATATCATTTCGTTCGTGATTTACTGGTGTGTAACATTCTTTAATTTATAATTTTGTTACATTTTGTAAGCGAAAGAATTTTGAAACAGTAATTTACAAGCTTTCAAATGCTAAGACACGTTATAAACATTCTCAAGTTTTATTAATCGTACTCTAATAATCATACAAAAGTTATTAAACTAAAAATATTTTTGTTGTTTAATTAATGCCAAATAATGTTACGAATTGGCTAGTGTTTCTTAGAAGACGAATTCCAGAAGATTCTCTGAATAAAATCTCCTTCTCTCTCTCTCTCTCTCTCTCTGTGTATATATATATATATATAAGTCTGATATTATATTTTTAATTACGGGAAAAGGCAAATATTTCGCTCTTGAATTTGTGTAAGGAGACCTCTATATGACCTCCAGTTTTGAAATGAAATAGCTTGGCCAGTTTCCTGGATTTATTTTCATAATAAGCTCAAACTTATCCTAAATATACCCATAAAATAAATGTATAAAAGGTTATATTTCATTTTTTTATAAAATTAATGTTTTTAAATTTTTAAATGAAAAACATGAATATATATGAGATCGTTTAAAACATTTTTATAACAGGAAACATATGTTTACGGCCAACATCCACGAAAATAAAGGCCACTGTCGGACTTTTTGTGTACATATATTTTTATTTATTTATCATTAAACTACTTTCTTGCCAATAGCGCTGAAATTTACAAGAAAATTTGTCAGTGCTTCCCACTCGTCCAAATGTTCCGCCATCATTGGCCGTCCACTATTACATAAAACACACAACGACGAATCAGCTAGTCCAATGCGAAATGATTCTGTAGACAGTCACGCCCCTTCAATAGTCTAAGAGATGCAACCGCAACTGTTCGCGGGGAGTCAGAAACAAAAGCTGGGTTTGTTGAGAGAACACTCCAAGGCTTGGCATCACAAGCCCGAGTGGTAAAATCTCTAAAAGTCTTTTGATATGTTAGCGATGTGAGAACCTTAATAGAATGGAGGCTTGCACTCGTTTTTGGCTTTTGGAGAACCGTAGCCCCCTTTTACGCAAGCATATCAGCTATCTCATTCCCATAAATACTGAAGTGTGAAGGTACCCATTAAAAAGATATCTTATGGGAAAGTTCTTTTATGACTTCCTGACACTGTTGAAGGCAAATGTTCTTACACTCTTGGTAAGAGTAGATGGCCTGTATTGCTGAAGTCAAATCATACAGCACAACACTCCACCCCTGAACGAGCTCTATCTCAATGATAATTGTGGGAGAGCCAACTGAATTGCTTTCAGTTCTCCATCAATGCGTGGATCAATGCGTGGAGTAAGCCCCTACAGGTATATAGAAACTGAAAAGCTTGCTAAAAACTCGAGCTCCAGCCCCCCTGGATCCTTTCGTTCAGAGAGCCATTCGTGTATACATGCATCCATTCCTTAGCCGAAAAACATTGCTCTATTGTTTCCAAAGCTATAGCTCTTATTTGCTCTGGACTCATTTCCTTCTTATCTACTTTCATTTCCAGGTCCAACCGCACATCAAGGAAGCCATAATCCAAAGGATTTAGCAAAAACAACTGTGCCGGTTTCAGTGTTCTTATATGATTGTATTGTACTAGGAGAGAGACACACTGAAGAAAGCCATTTTGTGTCTTCAGATTTCGTTGCTTATTATAATCATAATTCCTCCAATGAGGGTTACTTGGTAGTCGAATAAGTCTCTGGAAAAGGATGAAAGCATTTTTCTGAATCAGATTTGTTACAGGTTGGTTTGCCGATACTAAATGCATTGCCAGAATGGAATTCATTTTAACCGCTCCGTTTCTAATGCGCAGTGCCTGATTTGGAATACCTCTTGACATTGTATCACATCTCGTGTAGCCGAGATCAATATCCCACCGCAATAATTTAGTATTGGTAATATGCATTTTATACGTCAAGTTGAGAGTCTCTACCACAACCCCATTTAACACCTGCTAAGCGTTAAAGAATAGGTAATCTACGCTTTGCCTTAGCAACTACATGCTATGCATGCTTTTTCCAGCTTAAGCGCTTGTCAAAAATGCAGCCAAGATAGGTGGCACCATCCGTCTGCTGCAAAACCGACTTCTCATACATTAGTCTAGGAGTAAGCGTTTTCTGTTGAGAGAGAAAAACTGACAAGTAGTCTTCCCTTGATTAACTCTCATATTATTAGCAGAACCCAACTCCTCTAGTCTCTTAAACGCAGAGTTTAAGATTCGGTTTAAACCATTTTGATCTTTTTTGTTAGCTCTGGCCCATACGACAAGATCATCGGCAAAAAAAGCAGTGTTCGCGATCCCATTTGATTTCAAGATGTCTGGTAGATCGTTAATGAAAATGTTAAAGAGAATAGGGCTAATAACCGTTGTTGACTTGTAGAATGGTAATTTCTAAATTCTGCTTGTTTGGAACTTTTTATTGACACTAATTTATGAATGTATAGTATTCACTTCTTGTACTCTTTTGCGCCATAAAGGTAAAAAAAAAATGTAAGAAGTGAAATTTTAATGTAAAATAAAGATAAATGGTATGTAAGATTTTCTTTTCATTTAATAGTTGCTTTTTATTGTTGTTTATAAATTAAATTTAAAATAAAAAACTGTTTTTTGAAGCTTCGGTGAATTCTCAACAAACTGAAGAAGCAACCGAAGATTCTTACACGTAAGTAAAAAAGAAAAAAAAAATTTTCATTCTATGCATTATTTATGATAAGAACGACTATATGAATAAAAGCTAATAATCAATGCTGTAAAAAAACTTAAAAGAAAATACGGATGCAGATAATTAATTTCTGACTTTGTTACACACTAAAGTACAATTTGGGTCTTATCGCTTAACCAGCGAATTAAAGATTCCTTGTTTCGACCACAGCCGACGAAAAGGACATTTCAAAAATAATTAAATAAACTAGTATCCAATGGTTACACAGCCCAGGTTCATGCGAAGTTGGCTTACAAACTGTCTGGCGTGGAGATTCAATATCGGCAATTATAACGCAAGGCCGAAGACTACACTTCTTATCTGAGCTAGGAACATAGTAACGTGGATTCGAGAAGCAGAATACGTTCTATCTTTCAATCTAAAAACCTCATCTTAAACATATCTAACATCTCAAAACATCTTTACACGTGAGCTAATTTGTATTCTGGCATGGAAATGCAAGGAAGAAGTGACAAAAAATTCTAAATCATAAAAAAACTGTTTAATTAACATTAAAAGAATCTACAGGTACTTATACTGCAGTGATGTTCTTAAACTCTTCAAAAGCTTGAATAGCCTCTTCGAAAGGGTGTCCACATGATAAATGATGATTTTAAGAAGTATCCTTATAGTTTTCTTTATTTTAGTGATGTTCTTCAACTTCTATTTGCTTGAATAGTCTCTATCAAAGAGTCTCCGTAGTGAAGTGACATTTCTGTCAGTGGTAATTCTATAACGAAAGTGAGAGACAATTCTGTAATGACTTTGTAAGGTGTATTTTAATTTGATAACAGTTATTTTAATTTTAAAATATTTATTTTAATTTTAATTTTATAAAAGTATAGAGTCTAGGTTTTCTTTAATAAAATAAACTAAGTCCAAACTCCGTGCAGATGTAAAGCGAATTATCTCTGTGCTTAAATTAACTGCAAAGTCTTAAGAAGGTTTAAACAAACCTTTTTATTAAATCAGAGCTTGAACATAAAAATGCATCTTTCATGCTACAAGTCAACCAATACTTGTGGTGAGGTAACTTAACAATGAAATTCAAATTTAAAACTAAATCTAACAGCCAAAGTAAACTTGATTTCAAGCGAATATGGCTCAAACTTCTCACCGGTACAATAATTTAAATGTTGGCAGCTATAAAACAAAGCCGAAGAATTGCAATCTTACCAGAGCTGGCGCAACTTAGTAACCTAGCCTCGAGAGGCAGAAGCACGCTCTGTCTTACAATCCGGAACAGCTTAAATATTGTCCAACCTGATTTGCGTTCTGGCAGGGAAACGGAAAAAAGAAGTGACAGTAAAGATCTAAATCATTAACTGATTAAATTAACATAATGGAACATTACAAGTTACTCGAGGGTTCGGCACTCCAAGTTCCTGCGCAGCTCCAAGTTTGCGTAAAATATTCGACTCTTCCAAAGATTAACAGATCGCTATAAAAAAATAAAAAAAAGAGCAGGTAACAGAAAGAGTAAATTAACTTATACCTTACTTATTTATATGAGCTATATGCCGTGATAAAAAGAGGGTCCGGGTTCAAACCCTGGAGAAGGCATGGTTGTTTTTAAATGCATAGTGTATTCGTGGTATGTGGGGACTTAAAATATTGTTCAGTCGAAATTTCTCTCGAGAGGTTGTTGTATGAGAAAAAGGGTTGGGAGACTGTCAGATCCATAACCTAGGAGGAGATTCTCCTTTAAAACCGGAACCGAACTGGGCAGATAAGTTGTTAGCCATAATAATAATAAATAATCCAAGTAGAAAAAAACTGACAAGTAGTCCTGCCCTGATTAACTCTCATATTATTAGCAGAACCCAACTCCTCTAGTCTCTTAAGCGCAGAGTTTAAGATTCGATTTAAACCATTTTGATCTTTTTTGTTAGCTCTGGCCAATACGACAAGATCATCGACTAAAAAGGCAGTGTTCACGATCCCATTTGATTTCAAGATGTTTGGTAGATCGTTACTGAAAATGTTAAAGAGAATAGGGCTAATAACTGTTGTTGACTTGTAGAATGGTAATTTCTAAATCCCGCTTGTTTGGGAGCTTTTAACGCCAGTCTCTGAAATTTTAATATATTACGAACATTTCCCTTCTAACTATTGAGCTTTATGTTACCAAATAAAAGAACAGACCCATCACAGCGAAGCATAAAATAAAGTGACATTCAGTTTACGATTTCACCGAGTCAGCTGTCTATTAACCTTCTTTATTTGTTTATGGGGGATTTGAAGCCTAAGCAGTAGCACGGACAACAATAAGAATGCTCGAGTTTCAAGTTAAAAGAAAGCAGAAAGGAAGATATTCACTGTAATGTAATATATAACGAAGATATTTCCTGTAATGTAAGGAAGATATTTACTATAATGTACCATTTATTCTTATTGGATAGTAAGTTTCTTTTAAAGAAATGGTATGGACACAGTTGCCTGCAGTTTATCCATGACTACTTTTTATTTGTTACATTCTTACTGTAACCGTAGCTTTCCAAAAATAAATTATTTGCTTAATTTTCCTCTCTCGACTTTCGAATGATAAAATTGATTAAAAAAGGAGGAAAACGCGAGGATACACAATAATACTTTACTATAGGTTAAAAAATATTGTAAATGCTATACGTATTACTAATGCTACATAATAATTAAAATTTATTATGATGCAATTAATTTATTTCATGAAAATGAAAAATTTTGAAAGAAATGGAACGTTTGAAATATCTGCATTATTTATCAAGAAGTTAAACTTGTTCTTCAAAAGGCATACCATTTCTTTCTCTAGGCTTTATAAGCGATATATACTGTTAGCTGTTTTTGCAATGTGTTAAACGTAGTAAAAACTGAGCTAGAATTGTAAAAGATCCCGCTTTACTGTAATATCTCAATTTACTGAATCAATAGGTTGATTAGCAGAGATAACCAGCGTTGTGTCGATGGTTGCAGTGTTATTTCAATAGCACAAGTATGCACCCCGGTCAGATGAAGATAAAGTCATGTCTATAAGCGTTTTTAAACTAACATGCTGGCAACATTTGACTTTTTAGACGAGATTTTAATGTACCCCAAGATTTTAATGTACCTGCATCGGGAGTTTATTGAAACATGAAAAAGGCTGTACATAGGCAATACACGGGGTAGTACAAAACTAAAGAAACAAGCTTTAAGGGATGGCAGGACATACTAAAGTTAGTACTTTTCATCACAGAATTCATGGTCGCCGGTTAAGCAGTTAAGGTGCTGCAAGATGTTTTCCTTCTCTTCCACAGACTTTGTCTTTCGCAAAGCAAAGGCAGATTATGATGATGTTAGCCTTCTCTTCAATCGTACGCGGATTCATTCCACGTTGCTAATAGTAGGGAATGACTCCTAAATCTCATGATTTAGCCTGTTACTCTACGGTGACGTGTTTGCGTCATTGAAAATAAAAGCATCGAGCGTAAAAGCTATCAACTCAAAATTATCAAAATTAATGTCGTGCCACAGCCGAGGAGCATAAAGAAATAAAATATACGGTAAATAAAAAGTGAAATACAAAAACAAAATAGTTATGTAAAGAATAATGGAAGTGCTTGCAAGAGCAACTGCTTTTTTATATGCGACTCCTGGAACAGCCCTATGTCTTTGCATTACAAAAAACTATTTGTTTAGGGAAGCAGAAAGCTCTATTCTGTCCCTAACTGCTTAACACTTCAACGCAATTGACTGCATATCGAATCGGCCAGTCAGCATATTATATGCCATTAGAAATACCAAACCCCATCATCCCATCTTAAATATAGAATTCAACAAGTACTAATAAGTTGAAAAAGATCAGCGCTTTTTTATCTTATGGATCAAAGGACAAAACTATATGATAGATATTAAAAAGCCGATAAACTTGCAAGAAAAGATGAACAAGACATGCAACAATAAATAGAGGACTTATTGTAAACACCATTGCTAATAAGTCACTTTACTAACAAAGTGCGGCAAATAGCAATGACAACGGGAGTGGGATGTCACAGAAAAGGGAAAGGACGGCTTTCTATATATTTGAAAATTGTGCACCAATAAACTAATAGCTACTCCACGAATAAATTTAATGCTACCAATTCTAGTTACTTTTACTCCCGAAGCATTTCATCAATAGATACCTGTCTACGCGGCAAATTAGAAACTATCTGCATTTTGTATTGAAATAATAATGAAAGACTTCGATATTCGGTCTTCCATCACAACTGTCTCCTAAATATACAGCCTTTCTCATCAAAAAGAAAGAACGTAGAAGAAACATCACCAAATAATGAATTTGGTTTCGAACACAGGCACAGATTTATATCATCCTAGATGAAGAATTTCTTAAGAAAAATTCCAATATATGTCAACAGTTTTTTTTTCCTTTTCTTCTTTTGCATCAAGTCTATCGCACGCATAAAATGCATTAAGTCATTATCCTTCGTTTTATAAATTCTTCTATAAGTTATATTAGATGAGTAATCATCCAGCTAATTCATCATCAAAAATCATCCTAGGCAGGTAATCATCAAGCATTGTGTCATCAACCGTATGTATACTACGTATTCATTCTCACAAATCTTCTCAAGCGCTGATGCTGCAGAAGACTCTGAAAATGTGTTTAACTCGTAGAAAATTGAACTCATCCTATGTCTGAACTCAGCTATTATTGATCTAATAAGCAACATTCTGCGATGAAAGGTTTTTTTTTGGGGGGGGGTATGCTAGTAACATTATATGCATTATAAGGAATAAAAAATATATTTAAGTATAAAACTCTATATTACATTATAGGTTTAATTTATACCTATAACTCAGGAAAGTTTTTGTGTTTCAGTACCACGCCTCAGGTACATTTCATATATAAAGTGAAAGCCCTGAATACGGCGCTGTTTTATGTTCTGGATGGTCTAAAAGAGGATATAAAAAACGGAGAGGAAGTGAACATTAGCCCCATTTATAGGGTAAGTTACAACCAATGACATACATTTAATTTACCCGATTTAACACCGCTTTTGGTACAGATGCGGTGTTCAGTATGATTATGACAATACATAAAATTGGCCTAAAATTTCTATTAAGGAAATGATATGACGCAACTGGATATAAGATTTTATTTGAGAAAAATAGCATTTCGCAGGATATAATTTTTTATAGGCTATTAATAACTGAGATTAAATTTTAATCTATTATGTAATAGCTAATTTGTAAAGGTTGTACTTTATAATACAATGATTTTTTTTAAATATAGAAAATGTAAAATGGTGTGCGAAATTACAACATAATATGACAAATAAAATAATTTATAACAGCTCCTTTTGATTTAATAATGTTAGCTGCTGGATAGCAAAGCAGTAGACGAGTTTGTGTCTTAATATACCCGTTGTGACATGCTGGAATAAAAATCAATAATTCTACTGCATTAGCCAGTGTTATATGAAAACATTTAAAAGCCATCTGGGCAGCCTTCCAAAAATGCAATACGGCCTTTAAATCCATATTACTGGCAGCCAGGCCAGAAAGGGGCATAAGAACATTTACTTGAGGGTACAGGAGAAACTTGAATTATTTCCAAGTCGCATTTTGCTTCTGTGCTGCTGAAAAAATGCCCCAAAACTGTTGAATTGGAGACAGCTTAAGAGGTCTGAATGTAGAATTTGTTGAACAAAGAAACGTACTGAATAGATTTTCAGTTATTTCCCTGTTACTTGTGCATTATATAGACTGCCTTTATACCGCTGGAACAATCTATCTGCACACAAGTATTATATAGATTAGAAACGACTGGAAAAGTCAGCAACTATGTTTATGTTATCGGAATTTATCCAGTTGGACATCTTTAAGTAATGGTCAGTGTGATTTTAAGTGAAACACTCTATACCATCACAGATGAATGACTAACCTATAGGACACCTTGCTGTCATAAGGATTCCATTATCTCTTCCATCCTTTTCCAGAAATGAATGTAATCATCGGCCTGAAAAAAAACTGCAAGAGAGTCGTATCACAGAAGGCAACATGAACGCTCTCCTTCTCGGCGAAGTATCGATGTTCTTCTGCCTTTAAGAGGCACCCGATATTGTATTTAACACGTTGAGCCCAGCTGGCCGGCGTCGGTCCCTGGGGACACTGGAATTTTCGTTTGGCTGGCGTCGGTTCGTGGGAGCAACAGTATTAACATTTGCGACCATGAGCTTTGTCACGCATAGGCAGGGCTTGTATGTCGGTAGCAGCCGACAAAGTTCACCAACAGATAAGCTCTACTCAGTGCATGAAGTAGCGGATCACCCTGCAACATTGCACCGCTTGATCGCTCGCGCCGGCTGAACTGAAAAGACAGCAAATTCGCCGCCAGGTTCAACGTGTTAAGAGACGCACTTACAGTATTAGGTGAAATTTTATGTAATTCCTCATTTTTTCACTTACTGCATAATTAAGCATGAAACAGACTTTTTGTTTCATGCCCCCTGAGCAATTGTGCACTGATGATTATTTGGCTCACTCAAGGTAGTAAATTTGACATACCAGCTCTATAGAATATTGCAGAAATTAACCGGATGAAGAGGAGAGGTCGAAGACCTAAGCCGTATAGAAAATGTTTAAGACACTCTTGGAAGGACAACGCAATCTGGTTTTCTCCGCTCAGTCGAGAATATGAAATCAGCGTTGCTGTAGGAGTGGGACTATCTGTAACAGAAACTTGCAAACTGCCTCATATTCAGTATGAAATGAATTACGCCATGAAAGCTGCATGATTGTTGAGGGGACAAGACCTCCTATTAGCCTCATTTTTTGCTCAATCTTACTACTCCTATTGGAGACATTCTTGCTCAGATGAGCCTTAAGCAGGATCATGTGTATGTAACATGAATGTTGTAACACCTTTTTTTTTTAATTATATCAACCCATGTCCTATATCCATACCAAACTTCATTAACACCTCTTTGTCCCTTCTGGTGATAATAGACCAAATGCAAAAGACTTCTCAATTTTGAACACTAGGAGGAAATGGAATACTTCACCTTTTCTGCTACGTCATCTTCCACAGGAAAAGAGTAAGCATTTCATTCCATGCAGCACTTTTTCTAATTACAATATCCACTTTTTTTTTTACATTTACTTTATGCAAAATAAATCCGATACAATTTCTTATGGATGGAAACAGAAAATTAGTTTTACAATTTAAAGTACCAAAATTAGTCCTTTGCTGATTTCCTCATCCATTTCCATTCATCTAATAACTATACAAGGCTTTATTTTGATCAACCCAACTATTTCATTTTTTATCTTTACTATAGCTTCTACTTTCCTCAGATTCCATCAGAATGCAAACTACTGAAATATAAACTACTGAAAATATAAAGAAGATTGCAGTTTCGAAGTTTTACATAAAGAGTTTCAGCGTTAGTTTTCATGCTGGCAAAATTTAAACTATTGGCTTAAGTTTCTGCTTTACGCGATCTTTTGCACTTAGTTTTGGATGAACCAATGTTTAGGTTAGGCATATTAGTAGTGCACTCTCTATTTATTTTATTTTGAATGGGACCTTTAGTTATCCACAACGCAGGAGACTTTTGCTTCTGTTAAATTTTTAGTTTGTATAACTGTGAGGTCGATGTGTAATACAAATTTTACTTTCAAGAGAAATATAAAGATTTATAACCTCTTTACATTGAAAAGCAGATAAAAACATCTTAACCATTTTTATATTAAAACTTGAGTAGTGCTATTTTTAATGAGACAGACGAGATGAAATGTCATCTGACATCACTTAGGGTTACGTTGAGTTTGGTACTTTAAATTGTAAACTAATGATCATTCTGTAACGTAAGTTGAAATATTTTTAAAATAGCAGAATTATTTTCTTAAAACATATCGAAAAATGTTTCTCGCAAGACGGCGGAAAGCTGTTTGTTAGTGTAAAGATTGTTCGTGTTACATCTCTGTATTCAGATATTCTTCTCTGTATCTACTGTTCATATGTAAACAATGAATATCAGAATATCGAAAGAGATTCATGTGACGGGGAACAACTTTCTGCCGTTAAAAAGTTAAATTTAACAAATCATATAATAAATAAATCGAAATATAAAAATTAAATAAAATGGTAAAACCAAATGAAACTTAGCAAAATGAAACTGAGACCGCTTATACAGCTCATAATTTCTAACCTCAGTTTCACTAATTATTTCCAATTAAGTCACCAGCAACATTGTTTCCAGTCATGCTCATGGCCATTAATACTGGCACAGGGGCCGGCAGTATGTTTTCTTGAGTAGCCATTTTGGTGCAACGCCGTAGATGCCGAGAGAAACTTGATTGGAAATATATGAGCAAGAAAAGTAAAACTTTTAAAATATACAGTGAAATTAATTTTATAATTAGGGTCATTGATTTATCGTTGGAAAAAAGACATAATTCCCTGAGTTGTCTTGGTAAATAGAGAAAACGACACTTTGCAGTTTTAACTTTAAAATAATTTCGCTCTTCAGAATTTTGAACTAACATTTTAAAGTAAAAAATGAAGGGAGTAATAAGGATATTTCGATACCTAAATTGTTTATCGGCATTGATAAGAAGAAGAAAACGACTTAAAGTAACTTGGAAAATGACTTGGCGCTATGTTCTAGAAGCCCAGTTAAACTTATAATAATTAAAAATTTGACTTTCTAGCTTATAGTTTGGAATGGGATTCCCTTTCAGTCTGTTTGTCTGTAAATGTTTAGGGAAAGTTGCATGAAAATAATTTAAAAAGGAACAAAATAATTTAAAAAAGAATTTATTTAACATGGAAAGAATTTAAAAAGGATTCTCTTATCATGAAATTAAAAAATAATAAGAAATCCGAGTGGAAAAATTTGGTAAGAATGAGATCTTGAAAAATACTATTTTATTGAAATTTTAAAGATTTTGTGCTTATCAAATTATTCCCACTTGCATTGCCAAAATATTTGTGAAACTGTATTAGCCAAAATAAATCTTAGAAATACACTCTTCTATGAAATTATTACCTGATAAAAATCAAAGAGAATGCAGTAAAGATATCTTGCCAGATTTTAAAAAAGCTTATATATATATGTATATTTTTTCAGATTCGGATTCTAATGCTAAAAATTAAAGCCTTTGGGGGAGAAATAGAAGAAACAAACCTTTCATTGTTAAATGAGATACAACCCAGCCTTCCACAATATTTAGTAGAAGATATGAAAAACGCCGGTATCAGCTTGGACACAGAATTTCTATCTTTGAAGGAATCGACCCTATTTCCTGACAACGTTTCATTTCAATGAATTTCGGCAAAATTATTATGCACATAGAAGTGTAGCATATAATATGACAACTGTTGTATCCAAACTGTTCATTAAATTATTTACTTGGCAATGCATGTCTAACTTTATTTTAGAAATCTAATTTTATTTGACGAAATTTTTAGAATACTAATAAGTTTTCAGCACATATTCTCTCAAAATACACATGCAAAGAACAGATCGTATGGATTTCAAATATGTATTATGTGACTTGGATTGAAAGCTCTTTTGTTTAATTCAATCATTATCAAAAATCACAACCGAAATTAATATTTGTTAACCAGTGCGACCGATTTAACACTTATGGTTTGCTTGTATGATTCGTTCCCCGAGGTGGTCAAGATCATGAATTCTTCCACTGCAAATATCATTTTTGAAAAGGCTACAGACATCTCATTCCTGAAAATCTTATTCCTTAAAATGCGCAGGAAGAAGTCTTGAAGAATTGTGGGCATAGCGTAATTAGGATTTCTTGAAGGCGAATGCAATTCTTGCCAATTTTGGCCAATGCACCGTTCTGGAAATCGACGGTTCAACTCACCTCACACTTTTTTCGCAAACTTGTGAGACGAGTTCCTCCATCTTCTTGAAAGAAAATCTGCAATTTAGTGACTTTCTTTTTCGTTTCCTCGGATCTGTAGCATATTCACAGTCACATTGAAGATTCTATTCGTTTCAACAAAGAAAAATGGGTCTGAAAATTGTTTTATTTGTTGGACCCTGTGAGATTTCAGAAAACTTTCGATTGTGTTCTATGTGTCAGTCAGGATTTTCAGAGTCCCGATTTCGACCACTGTAGGTATTTTCGTAACAATTTACATGGATTGTAACTTCATCCGTAACGAGACCAGGTAATGCAAATAATCCCTGAGGAACTGAGCTAGATAAAGACATTTTCAATGCATTTCACGTAATATGTCCTTCACAGAAACTACCACGGGGAACGTTCTCAGAGATTACGAGTTATCGAACAGGACCTCAACTTTACTTACTGGTTTCATGACGTAACTACTAACTTTAAATATATAATAGGGCAAGTACTGACTTCAAAAAAGCAGATTAAAGTAATTAGGTAATGATCCTTAGCAGAAATAGAGTCATCCACTATTTCTGAATTGCTAAAAATTAACCTCATAATTGTGAAAAAAGTAATTCGGTTTTAAAACTGAACTTTAACTAATATTAAACTAGGTAATTATGAGGTAAACGTAGGGAAAAACCCTGATTACCTAGGTGTCAATTAATCGGTATACAGCATTATCGAAGACGAAACTTAAATCTTATACATGTTATATTATTCTAAGTATTTTAACTAAAAATCCGAATATCTTACATGTGCAACTGCTGTAAAAACACTGCAACACAGCAGGCATATAACTAAGGAATAGTGCGATAAAAGAGTAACAAAAGAGGGGCGAAAATGTGCTATTAAAAAATATGAATTTTTTTAACATCCTTGTGCGAAGTAAAGGAAGCACTGTAATTGCAAAACGTTTCGGGTATTATATTCTATTTTAACCGTTCACGAATCCATTTTGGACAATTTTTTGGTGTACGTCTGCACGCACAAATATGACCCAAGAATAAATTGTATCTGGGATTTAATGGCAGATACAATTTATTTTCTTTCGTCGATTTATTACTGCAATTCGTTGCTATTGCTACAAGTTATCCAAATTTTTGTCACCTTTCTTGAACTCCTCAACTTCCCCTCGCATTTTCTCGCCAGGATGCTAATTTAAAGTTAAGTGAAGTGAATATTTAAACGGATGAATCGTGGAGTTTATTCACAGCGTATTTTCGCTAGCCAAGCACAAGTTACTATTCTGTCCTTGCTGCTAGGGGGAACTGCTGATAAGCCTTTTGGCCATTTAAATAATTATCACGTCGGGTAGGTTGCCGAGTCAGCCTATCTAGCCTTCACTTCAAGTGCTAATCCAGCACTACTCTTTAGACTTGAATTGATTTGTGTAGCAATGCTTACGTTTCACCGCAAGTTGTCGGTGTTATTGTAAAGCACGAAGTACGTACCTTTCTGTTCTTAGTTGAAAATAATAAAGTGTTATTTTTACCCATCTTCTGTGCTGGTATTATTTTACGCCTGTGCAAGATGTCGCCAGGTTCATTAGTAGGATCTAGTAGAGTTTATGTGGTCAAAGAGAGTAAGATCCTATAAAGTTTCATAAAATTTTTATATTATTTTTCAAAACAGCATTTCTGTAGAATTCGGAAAGCTTCATAAAATGTCATTAGGATTTTATAAAGAAGCATTTCTGTAGAAGATTACCTGCAAAATTTAATAGGAATTTCTATAGAGTTCTATGAGCCTCTATAAAAATTTTTCCTAAGGGTATAAATAAGAAGAGTGACTTTTCCATATTGATTCTGATAAATGTTAATTTATTTTAAAAACCGCCAAGTAAGGGATTAAGTCGCCAAATAATTACGTTTAATTTTAATCAATCATTTAAAATTAGAAAAAAAAAGGCAACCATAGTCTGACGTAGATTTTCAATAATTCTATCGATTTTGAAAGCGAGTAGATACAGGTCCTGTTCTTCAGGAGCAAAAACATTTCTCTTAATATTTTTCCCTCCTGGAAAAAAAATTGTCTGAAAACATCTGCTTCAAATTGAAATTTCTTTTTTCACCTAATTCTAAATTTTATATTAACAAGTTTTCTTCCGAAGGATGCCCTGAGATTATTAAGATTAGAGGTACAGCATCGGTCAGATAATTCCCATAAATGAATTTTTTTGCAGTAAAAGATATTGTAAAACAAACTTTTGCATTTCCTCCTTCGAAATGCTGCAAAAATACATGTTTATATACTTCTAGCTATATTTATATTAAATTCTTTACATTCCATTGCCAGCTACTCATAGTTTAATGTTATCATTCGGTTAATGTTACCACAACAACCGTTGACGAACGTGATCATATTAAGCAGTATCTATAACCCTAAAAGAGAAGGAAACAAATGATATATTTTACTTTAGATCTAGTAATCTTTTTCCCCTAATTTAATATGTAATAGTTTTTCTGGGTGGCCATTCCAAGTTTTTATGTTCTGCCATTCATATTTCTTGTAGAGTAGATATTTTCTCCGTTGATCAAGCAATTTTCCTGATATGCCCTGTAAGTGGTCCAGCAACCTGATAAAGATACAGATGCACACACATGTTTGTACGTACACATGTATGTGTACATACATGAGCTACGTGCTCAGTTTCATTACGCAAGAGATACGCAGGTAAATAAATGTTCCGATAAGCCGGAAGGACACTTCTCTAAAGAGGAAAGAATAATCAGCAGGGTTGCCAGCAAATAGTAAAAAATAAAGAACGCAAAATTTTTCCACCCTCCGAAGGCGATTATTAAACCGATGCAAGGCGAGATAGAAGATTCGCACTTTTAATAATGAAGTTGGACCTGGCAGTCGAAGTGAAATCTCCAGGGAGGTGGTTCCGCGATTTTCGATGGCAAAACGTTTTCTCGACGACGGGGAATATCTTTTAGTGCTGCGTCATATCCCAATCATCCATCAACGCTTCTCCCGCCTCCTGCGTCAACTTTTAGCCGTTTGGGCGTTTCCTGACAATTCGATCAATTTTTATCCTGTTAGTGTCTGACACAAAGCTCTCCTCTTGTCTTCTTTTCCTCCATCTCGGGTTCCTGAAGACGTGCGAACGGCACTCGCAGCGTTCTGAAGAACTTTTTCCCGAATATTTCGCATCATTTGTCATTTCATTTTAGCAAAGACAAAAGGCCCAGACGTTCGCGAACTGTTTTTGTTATGTGCCACAAACAACCTCGTTCGGCATAGATTAAAGCATGTGGTACTTTGCAGTAAAAAGAACTCCAAATATCCGGACTCAGTGAGACTACAGCCGTCATGGATGTTCTAAATTTCCTGATAACTGATTTGTCTTTGTACATATAGGAAAGCACGTATTTAATATAATGCAAAACTAAGGCATAAATCTTATTGCAGAGAAAATAAGATGAAATTTGCAAGGTAGGCACAGGCACAGTGAAAGTAATGAAAATCTGCAAAACCCGTTCACACGAATAATTTCCAATCGAAGATTTGCATAATATTTTAGCTCGAGATGCGTACTGTTAGGAATGAAGCAATATCACAAACAATAATACGTAACTAAATAAGCATTATATCGTACATTTTTAATATAATTTTACATTTATAAACCCATCAAATAGTGAAAGTGCATTAAAAGCCGTTATTTTAAAGTTAAGATTACCATTTTATTGGTCGCTATTTCTGTACATTGTACATTCACAGATATTTTTCGTTTAAATATCAAACAATTTTGTTCGGGATTTTCATCGAAACTGTTGGCCGGCATTGACAAGCAACGTGGTGGAAGAGGAACTTTGCTTAATTTTTAGAAACGGTTTTTTTTCTGCTCCAGAAAACTCTTTGGGCATTTCAAAATTCTGATTTACATTTTGGAATAGGATTACTTTGGTATATAACTTTGCGGAAATTCCAATAATAAACTAAACTAAAAATAATTTAAATGCAAAAATACACTAGCAATTATATTACAAATTTTAAACCAACAGGAAAACTCAAAATTCGCGCATTTATTTTACATTTGCGAATGCCTAGAAAAATCTTCTAAAAGTCGCATCGCCATAAAGTTCACTGCCCTGTTAGGGTCAGTTAATTGATTAAGACAAACCACACACAGATAATCTGAATACGGAGATTTAACGAAGGAATTTCTAAAAGAAACTAAACCCTATTCACGTCACGCTAGCGAAAACCATGGGAGCATCCAGTCTAGAAACAACGACTGCTCGGTTTCTTGCCGAAAGCACCGTTGATATTTCATGTTTCCTGTTCCAAAATACCTAATAGTTTCCACATTGTCGCTTGAACTAATATTGTGATGGATGACACTTTCTCACTACCTGGTTTGGTGAACACGAAAAGTATCACATGCCTCAGTCTTTAAGTGGAGGAGAATATAAGGAATTATTTCAATCCATTTCTGAGTGTTCTAAGGTAAAACTGCTTAAAACGAGGCTTCAGAAGTTCCGATTGCT